TTATTCTGATTGTGAAATGAAGTATATTTTTTCTTTATTAAGCTAGAAACAATAGCAAAAAAATCATTGGCAATTTAATTATTGGCAACCACTGCAGTAACACTGATCCACACTGTGGCCATTGGCTAGCTTGAGTCGTTGTTTGTTTAAAGTCGATTTATTAATTCAAAATAGGAATTAAATGCATAATTAGAAACAGATCTTGGCTTGGCATTATTCACCCCTGTAGAAACACTTTGCAGAATAAAATGACTAAATCATTCTCTCCCAGTAGCTGGCGCACACAGATCAGTAATGATGACCGGTGAAGTATCTAAACTTTTGATTAATAAAGGGAAGTAAAAGTAGACTGAATTAAGCCCATTAATGAAAGAAAATAAGTTTAGATGATTAATAACTGCAAATAAGCAGAGGTCTTTATAAGCCCATACTCTAAATAAATTAATAAATAAATAACAAATACTTTCACATTATTTTCCCTAAAAAGTAACTAACACACTGAGCTACCTTTTTAAGTGACCTGACCTCAGATTGTAACGTATTACTTTTCCCCCAACAGGAAGAAGTTCCTCTAACAGGAAGTGGAGACCAGTACTTTGGGAAGCCCTGCTGCTGCTGAATGTCTAGAGCACCTGCATTCCAGATACTGGATCTCTGCTCACCTGCACTCGACTCAACTCTGATGCAGCACCAGGTGGGTCCTCATTCACTGTCACTCTTTGCTTTTGACAAATAAAAGCTTTTGTTTCCCTTTAGATTAAGCCTCTTTCACACACTACATGACATTCATTTGTAATATGAAGTCGAAGTTATTAGCCATCTTGTAAATTTGTTTTCTTTTACACATTTTTCCCAAACAGAAGAAGGAATTTTTCACAGTATTTCCTATAATCTATTTTCTTCTAGGTAAAGTCGTATTTGTTTTATTTTGGCTAGAATAAAAGCGGATTTTATTTAAAACAAACGCTTAAGGTCTATATTATTAGCTCTTTTAAGCAATATTTTTTATTGTCTACAGACCAAACCACTGTTATACAATGACTTGCTCAATAACCCTAACTTGCCTAATTAATCAAGTTAAGCCTTTAAATTGAATTTTATTTTCAAGTTATGTGCGTATAAATTGTAACACAGTACACTCACCGGCCACTTTATTAAGTACACCTTATTAGTACCGTGTTGGACCCGTTTTTGCTTTCAGAACTGCCCTAATTCATTGTGGCATAGATTCATCAAGGTACTGGAAATATTCCTCAGAGGTTTTGGTCCATATTGTATGATAGCATCACAAAGTTGCTGCAGATTTGTCGGCTGCACATCCATGATGCAAAGCTCTTGTGCCAAGAAAACATCCCCCTCACTATAACACCACTACCACCAGCCAGAACCGTTGATAAAAGGCAGGACAGATCCATGCTTTCATGTTGCTGACACCAAATTCTGACCCGACCATCCGAACGTCACAGCAGAAAACAAGACTGATCAGACCAGGCAACGTTTTTCAAATCTTCTTTTGTCCAATGTTGGTGAGCGTGTGTGAATTGCAGCCTCAGTTTCCTGTTCTTAGCTGACAGGAGTGGCACCTGGTGTGGTCTTCTGCTGCTGTAGCCCATCTGCCTTAAGGCTTAACGTTCAGAGATGCTCTTCTGCACACCTTGGTTGTAATGAGTGGCTATTTGAGTTACTGTTGCCTTTCTATCAGCTGGAACCAGTCTGGCCATTCTCTTCTGACCTCTGGCATCAACAAGGCATTAGCGTCCACAGAACTGCCGCTCACTGGATATTTCCTCTTTTTCAGACCATTCTGTGTAAACCCTAGAGATGGTTGTGTGTGAAAATCTCAATAGGCCAGCAGTTTCTGAAATACTCAGACCAGCACAACAATCATGCCACATTCAAAGTCACTTAAATCACCTTTCTTCCCCATTCTGATGCTCGGTTTGAACTGCAGCTGACCGTATTGACCATGTCTACATGCATTGAAACGCTGCCATGTGATTGGCTGATTAGAAATTTGCGTTAACAAGCAGTTGAACAGGTGTACCTAATAAAGTGGCCGGTGAGTGTACACTATATCTGCTACAACGTATGCCCACAGAATATTTTTTCATCCAGATGTGAAATTTAGTGTCATGAAAGTAATTTTAAACAAAAAGTGGACAATTTACTTGCGAACGGCTTGCATGCTTTCATTATTTTTCATCGACGTCAGTTTGAACTCAAGTTTGTTTCTATATCTCTTGCAGTTACAGGTTTCAGACATGAACTGTGTGAAAAAGGCTCTGAATAAAATGTAGATATCAGTTTAAAATGAATAACAACATGTTTGTCCCTTCAGGCTAATAAAAATTATTAATGCTGCCCCGAAGATCTGCAAGTTTCTCTAAGTTGACCAATGTCTTCATTCTGAAGGTAATGATCCTGCCGTCTTCCAGCATGGTAATGAGATCCAGTAGTAGATTCAGATGTTTTATCATTGCAGATTGTGGAGGAACTTTCTACGAGAAGCTTGAGTTTGATCCAGAATGGCTGGCCATCCTGAAATGGACAGACAATCTTCAGAAACCGTCCCACAGTTTCTGGAACCCTCCGCTGGACAACAGACTACACAGCAGATACAAAACACATGACAATGATCACAGTTGCTCATTTTCTGAAAGCTTTCTTATACCACATATACGTTTCTGTTTCTAATTGTTTTAGCGTCCTGTTCCTCTGCTTCTTTCAGGTGGGATTTCAGTCCATTAGACAGACATCTCCGTCCTGGTGAAGGGCAAAGTGAACAGACTAACAGGGAGGAGTTTTGTCAACATCCTTGATGACTTGAAGTTTCAGAAGAACTGCATTTATGGCAATTAAATTTGTAAGACATTATAAATGACTGTATGGTCACTTTTGTTCAATTTAAAGTATCCTTGTTAAATAAAACTGTTCATTTTAAAATGTTCTTTGACAAAAAAAAGAAGAAAAGGGGAAAATATACTCACTCCAAGCTGTTCAGTATTGTAATATAATGTTACAAAAGCTTTGTTATTTCTTCATAGAGTTGTAGTAATAGATGGGGTTTTCCTATAAAAAAAATCAACTGATCGTGTTAAAATCAGAGATTTGACCCATTTTAGATTTTGTACATTTCTCTTGACATTAGTTATTATTTTTTGTTTTATTTTGTAAATTATTGGTGACATTTCCTAAACATAGAAATGACGTTTAAACATTTCTCTCTCTTTTTTGACTAAAATAACAAAATAATATCAAGTTTATAGACATGCTCATTTTACTCAACACAGTACTAATGTTTTAGCTTTAGAGGAGTTTTCAGTCACAGCGAGTTTTTCCGGCAGCTGCCATTTTATGAAGAAATACTCTAAACGACAATATTTTTACTTGAAAATGTTAAAGAGATGTTATCAGACGTCATAGAATAAAATACATATTAGCATTTTACTTAAACCCATAAATTCAGAGAAACTGAGTCCCCTGTGTCCTATTTTTTCTGCCACAACTGTGTTTAAAAGGGATTATTATGAAGTAGTGTCATTCCTTGTCTGTGTTTGTTTGTCTATTCTATGACTTTATTTATTTTTATTATTATATTATTGGTTTGATTAGTATTTGTGCTCTGTTTTGTAAATGTAGATGAAAATGGTCTATTGGAGTTATACTGCAATAAATTAAAACACGTGACCAGAGTTCTGACGTGGAAACGTATGACGCGATTTTCAAGTTCAAAGGTGAAAATATCTTAATAAAGAAAAACTTGGACAATATTTATTTATCTGGGTATATGGGCCCTCTATAATTATACCTAATATTTATTAAGAGGTTTTCTGTGTACAATAACATAAAAAAAAACTGTATTGTACAAACCATAGACTGTACAAACATACAGCTCCTGCTGCTCTTATTGACTTAACCAAAGATCTTAGAATGACCAAGAGGCGACACTCTAGTGTAATTTGGGAAACAGCCACTAGAGGGTGCGGCGGTCATTTTGGAATGAAAACTCCAATAGAACAACAGCATAATATAAGTCTGTAAAATAAACTTTTAAAAGTGCTGATGATTGTGATAATAAGTGTTATTTTGTCGTCTTTCAGGTTGTATCTCAGCTTTAATGCACTTTTAAAATAAATAAATAAAAAACAAAGCAGCTGTTTGCCATTGCGACATTAATGAGATCCAATGGACGGCCAATCACTTTCACTCCAAAATGGCGGAATCCAGGGCTGTTGCTGGGCGCTGCTGTTTCAATGGAACGTTCTATTGAGTGTCGCCTCTATTCTAAGCTCTTTGACTTAACACTGAAATTGTGTACATTTAAATGACCCTCGTCATTAACCAAAGAGGGGGGGTGGGTAAAATTATGGGAGTTAATTAGAAAGCGTCAACCATCTTTGATCAACACTATGGCCGTCAACGAGCTCTCCGAAATTTTGTTAAATTGTTTTAAAATAGGCACTATTCTTGCAAATAAACGGCATAGTTACAATCTAAACAACTACATTTTCGACTAAAAAGCCTCAAAAGTATATTTTGTTGTCTAACAACAGTAATATTAGTTAAACTAGTGTCTGTTTGTTGCTGGCTGTATGTGGGCGAAGTAATACACAAAGGGTAAAGAGGCTGTGCCGGTGCTGATATTACTTAAATATATCACGGCTATCAACCAATCAGATCGGAGAACCAGACAGAACTGTTTTATTATATATAAACATATAACACATAATATATATATATATATATATATAT